TAAATAATTGGACTGTTAAGTGGTTAATTTAGTAGTATTTTTTAAACTTATTCTCCATATAACTTTGTTGGCTAAGTTTCACTTTGCCCAATTTTTTTATATAATATTAAGTAGGTAGTATTTCTTACTATACTCTGCCTTGAAGAGTGATGCTAATCTATCTTTTCCCTTATTCTTTTTGCCAGTGTCAGAATATAGCTATGCAGTGACTTGTATTTGGAATAAAATGGTTATGTGTATACTGAGGAGCTAGAGAAGAGTTTGTTTTGTTCTTGAGACAAGGGCTCACTTTGTAGTTCAGGCTGGCCTTGAACTCAGCAATCCTCCTGCCTCAGCCTCCTGAGTGCTAGGATTACAGGGGTACAGCACCACACCTGACTGAGAAGAGTTATTCTAAAAATGAAAAAGCCAAGGTTAATTTGAAACCCTTTTCCTTCCCAGATTATATATATGACTTATTTTTAACAGGTAGAAATTGCACTTGGGATTACCAATAACATAAAACACAGAATCCCCAATTTAGGGCCAGGGGTATCGCTCAGTGGCATAAGTGCTTGCCTGGCAAGCCTCAGGTCATGAGTTTGATTCCCAGCACCAAAACAAACAAACAAAAAAGCCAGATTCCCCAATTTATAAACTCTCACTTAGAGGTCACCTAAGAAGAAACTGGCAGCTGGGCTTGTGGTGTGCACCTGTAATCCCAGCTTCCTGGGAGACTGAGGCAGGAGGGTCATGAGTTCAAGCCCAGCCTGGGCAACCTAGTGACTTTGCAAGATCCTGTCTCAAAATAAAAAATTTTAAAAAGGGCTGGGAGCATAGCTCAGTGCAAAGATCCCCGGCTTGAGTCTGAAGTAAACACTGCTTATTCACTTTCATTGCATTGCCTAAATCAAGTTTCATGTCCAACCCTAACATTGATGAAGTGAAAAATTACATGGGGGAGAAACTCTGTGAATGTTACTACAACTTATTATATACATCCACAGGAATATATGAGATTTATTTAGAAATATTGGAGATTTAACCCAGAGCATGGTGTTCCTTAAGCAGGTACTCTATCACTGAGCTGTATCCCAGGCCAAACTTCTTAATTTTGCCTCTCCTTCTCATTCTTCAGCATTGGTATAGTTACACAACTGTAGCCTAGCATTGCCTGAGTTCACTCCCATGGCAGGGCTTGGCAGTGGAAAAGTTAGGAGTATCTCAAGGCTGGCTAGGGTATGGGAATGAGTAGCCAGCAGTTGAGATCTTCAGAACAGGAGCTAAGAAGGAAGATCTGTGACTGACTTCTCAAGTCAGAATACTAGAGAAGCAGCCTCTTTAGCAATGAGAATTTGGCTCTGATTTATGTTTGTTATATTGGAACTAACCCTATGTGCTGATAGGGTTAGTTGGCTCCTTTCTTTCTTTCTTTTTTTTTTAATTTTAAAGGTAAAAGAATGAAAACTAGCAGGAGACCTAACTACCACTTCGTGATATGGTGTCTATGGGGAAATGAGTTTGAGTTTCCAACCACTAATCTGAACTTACTGTTGGAAACAAGTTCCTAAACTGGAGACCAAGTAAAATTGATACCTTGGTGAGGGAGGAAACAGGTTTGACACCATAAGCAAAACTTATTTTTTTCAAGCTGGGTGTGGAGGTGCACGCCTGTAATCCCCACACTTGGGAGGCTGAGCCAGGAGAATCACTGTGAGTTCAAGCCTGCCTGGAATACATAGCAAGACTCAAAAAAAGTTTGGTTTTTTTTTTTTTTTCCCCACATTTTTTATTATTGCATATTGGCTAAAGAGATTAATGGGTTTCATGTTGGCAGATTTGTATATGCACACAACAGACTGTAATCACTCACCTTCTTGCCCTTCCCTAGTTTCACATATTTTGGGGGTGGTTTAGTGTATATATTTTTGTCATATTCATTCATGCCTTCAGCAATACTGTGCATTAGTGAACTTAACTGTATCACAGCTTAAACTTTATTTAAACAATTAAAGCCAAAATGGAAAGAGGTTTTGATTCTGTTTTGGGCATTACAGTATGCAAGGTAGCAATTAGCCTGATGTGGCCACACATGCCTGTAATCCTAGCACCCAGGAGGCTGAGGCAGGAGG